GTTTGTTCAAGTCCTAGTATGCAAATACCATTAAGCTAACCTTACAGTGCTTAGAGTGTTAAAGAGAGAAGACAAGGAAAAATGGGAAGTAACAAGTAGCATGTAATTAAATGACAAATAGTACAAAGGTGGTAGTGGTCAGAAAAGCTACCAAAGACTGGATAGTTTTGAAGAGATTTCATGAAAGAGATAAACATGAATTGGGTCTCTAAACAGATAAGTTTGGTACAGGTGAATGAACGACACAATTGTATAACAAAGGGAGGAGGAAGCCTAGATTCAAATAGTAACTATGAAACTCACAGGAATGAACTCACAGGTCATGGGCCTAATAACCCAGAAAAAAAAAAAAAGTTAAAATCTAGCCCAAATCTGCCTATATAAAGTTGCAAATAATATTTATAAAAATATTCCTGAGAAGAAAATCATGTTGGTAGTAGGAGGTTAGTAGAAAGGATAAGAAAGAAAAGTAACTGATTTAAAAAAAACCATTCAACTCTATTATCTAATGCTTAATAATGGCAATAGCATATTAGCATATTCTCCTGACATCTTTTAATACAGCAGTGTGAATTTTTATTTCTAAAAGCTGAAAGAAAAGCTTTGATTTCTAAATTATATTACTTACTTATGGTTTTTCTCTAAAATAAATAAAATGATACTATAACCAAAAAAAAGCTACTTGTTATTCCTGTGTCATAATTAAATATAAAATTTTATAGTCTGTCAATTCCGTTTTAGCAGAATACTTATTTTATATCATAGTAAAACTGTTGTCTGTCTTCTGATCACCTCGTTCAACAGTAAACACAGAAGGCGTTCCAACAGACTGAAGCCCACATGACAAACACTTGCAAGTCTAGGATTTCTGTCCTACCTTTCCCTTGGCATGAGGAATGCCCAATGGACACTGATGGACTCCACCTAACAGGGCAGCCATTGCAAAACTGTATCCACTAACGGCTTCTGGTGAAGTTTTCAGGTTGTTGAGCCGCTCTGCACACCTGTCTAGAAATGGTGTCAACTGGAAAGGTAATGCCACAGCCACACAGCGCAAGCACCAGGCAGCAGCGAGCCGAGCAGCCATACTTGGATGAAGAAGCACAGAAGTCACAGTCTCCAAAAGTCCTAACAAAGAAAATACTCAAAAAATTACTCTTTAATGAAGTCAAACAATTTCATGAACAAAAGACTATGTACAATTAAAATCACATAATTAAGCTTTTAGGATTTTTAAATCAAATGATTACTATGGCCTTAAGATTAATAACTCATAAATGACAGTAAAACTTTCTTACTCTTTTTGCATTCACTATGAATTATTAGACTATAAATAATTATTATGGCTTCAAACATACTTTCCGAACTTTGCCAAAAACACATACATTACCTCATAAATAGCAGAATACTTTAAAGGAACATTTTCTACAAAGAACAAAGTATAATTACATTCAATAAAATATAAATGTGGATGTAAAATTAAAGTATTCAGCAAATTTTAGTCAAAAACTACCATGACTTTTTTATTTGTTTCCCCGAACTTTATTTCACCATTTAATTCAATACTATCACAGTGAATTTTAAGTTAAATAAAACTCTACTTTTACCAAATAATCTAAACTGCTAATTTGATGACAAGCAACTAACCAGGAGCGAAATATCGATTATACTATGATTTTAAAAATGGTAAAAGAATATTTCTGCAGGTAAGTGGATATCATACCTATAGACGCTTCCTGAATTAGAGGGGAGGCAGTGGCATTGAGGCTCTGCACCAGGCTCCCCAGCTCCTGGAGGGCGCAGACCATCACATGCTGGCTGGCTGCGATGTCTGCTGCTCCAGACTTGTTTTCACTGCTAGTGTCATTCACTACTGCTTCTGGAAACACAGCAGCATGTCCTCAATGAGCGTTAATTAAATATAATTTTCTTGATCTACATAATTATATTCTTAAATCAATCCCCAGTTTCCCCAGTCGTATTAGCTATCTGGCACTGGGCAAGATACTCAGCCTACCTAGGTCAAGTTCCTCCTCTGCTGAAAGGGTTAAGTGCCTATCTTGAAGAGTACTGTTACAATCAGTCAGTGCGTATAAAGAATTTAACACAGTGCTGCCCTCAATACATATTTAATAAATTTTAGTGGCCATTATTGTTACTTACTATTTTTACTGCTATTTTCAAGTGCTGCTATATATTGACAGTATCATCAAATTACTGACCAGAAAATGGGTATGTAAGGAAAGAGGCTTTAGAACTTCTTAGTGGAATGTTCCTCAAAGTCCTCATTCACTTTGCTGCCCCCTCCCATCACCTTTTAATGTCCACTAGACTTGGAATGTATTTAACATAGAACAGCTGTAAATCCCTTGTGAATTTACTAATTGAGAATACATTTTGGCCCATAAATTCCAGATATATAGCATTATATTTAATTAAGCTTTTAGGATTTTTAAATCAAATGACTACTATGGCCTTAATATTAATAACTCATAAATGACAGTAAAACTTTTTTTGCTCTTTTTGCATTCACTATGAATTACTAGACTAAAAAAAATAGAATATAGAATAACAGAATACAATAAATTAAAACATTATGGACTCTAATTAAATAGCTCTTTTCTTCTTAGCAATTTCTGGACTTAGAAATGCATGAATTCTTCCTTTAATTACTAAACTAGAAGCTGCCTGAACAGGTAGTTCTCTGTATCTGGTTCACTATTTTCCTCCCACGATTTGGTAGTATTTCTGGCACTCAAACATTTCTTCAATGAATCAATGTACAAAGATTTTTCAAGTTGTACACCTAGAATATATTGCTATTTTAACATATCTAAAGACTTACTAGTATACCTCATTAACTTAAGCACCCTTTAATTCATAATTTATAATTTTTCAGTTAGCCCTGTACATTTAAAAAATGGTTTGCAAAGATATAAACAACAAAAACTATAACTAAACTGTGTGTACTTGTAAAACTTATAAAATTATTTTCTCTAAATATAAATTACTGATTATTATCTTTCATTAAATTCTTATTTCTAAGGACCTCTATTAGGCAATATAATGTGCCTGATTAAAGTTAATGTATATTACCAAGAGTGATAAAACTAAACCGTCTTATAGAATTTACATTTACCTTGCTTTGATTTCCTAGTCGAATTGTAAGCTCCTTAAAGGCAGGAACTTTATCTCACTCACTAGAGGCCCGAAGCACAAAATATGCAAGGGGCTCAGCCTCTGCCGCAGCAGCTGCCTCTGCCTCGGTGAAGTGGCTGCCTCTGCCTCAGTGCAGCGGCTGGGGGCCACCTCTGTCTGAACCCCCACCACCACAGCTTCGTCCAGAAGGTATTTATAATTTTTCAGTTAGCCCTGTACATTTAAAAAAATGGTTTGCAAAGAAATAAACAAAAACTATAACTAAACTGTGTGTACTTGTAAAACTTATAAAATTATTTTCTCTAAATATAAATTACTGATTATTATCTTTCATTAAATTCTTATTTCTAAGGACCTCTATTAGGCAATATAATGTGCCTGATTAAAGTTAATGTATATTACCAAGAGTGATAAAACTAAACCGTCTTATAGAATTTACATTTACCTTGCTTTGATTTCCTAATCGAATTGTAAGCTCCATAAAGGCAAGAACTTTATCTCACTCACTAGAGGCCCAATGCACAAAATGTGCAAGGGGCTCGGCCTCTGCCGCAGCAGCGGCTGCCTCTGCCTCGGTGAAGTGGCTGCCTCTGCCTCAGTGCAGTGGCTGGGGGCCACCTCTGTCTCAGCCCCCACCACCACAGCTTCGTCCAGACGGTTGCCTGGTCTAATTAGCATATTATGCTTTTATTTTTATAGATTATTCACACATTT